AGGGGGGTCGACACCAGCTTGGGTGGGATGTATGAGTTCACGCGCAAAATGAACCATGCGGCACTATCATACGTAAGTTGTAATACGCGAAGCCGGCCGGATAGGTTGGGGGGGGCAGATCATAGTTCCATTTGAGAAAGGAGAACTCACGTGCTACATTATACGATGTGCAGATTTTGTTGGGCAATCGATGTGGCGCAATGCGCTTCGTGCAATGAATTCCCCTGCTCCGCGCGGAACCACGTCCCAAATTCGCGCAAACAGCCCACCCACCCATCCGCAATTGGGTTGCAAAACCCATGCGGCGGCGATTGCGATGGCTGCTTTGCGTTGGCTGGCGCATCGCCGCGGCCGCGCTAGCGAGCGCAGGCTTTCGCGCAGAACGGCCAGCTTGTCTGGCGCCACCGACGCGGTCGCCTTTGCGCTGGCTGCTGGGCACTCCCCAGCGCGTCTCGCCGGCCGCGCTGGCGCGCGAGCGCTTCAGTGCGAGCTGGTGACTCGAGCGGGCGCGGTGTCATGGTGACGCCGGAAATTGCATACTACATAATGATCGTAGCGAGTCAGCGACGACGATGACAACGACGAAAGCATAGCCGATGACGGCGCCGATGGTGATCACACCGATGACGATGATGGCGCCAACGCGTCGGTGACTGGAGTTTTGAAAAAACTTCGGCATGCGCACGCGGCCGACGCGCGCGAGTGGCCCGCATGATGTTGTTTGAATAGTCCCCCCGCAAAGCACGCGCACAACGGCATTCGAATGATTCCGGCACTTGCGCGCGAAATGCACGTGTGGTCGTCATTCACGAAAATGGGAAAAATTGCTGAAGAATCCGCAAGATCGCTTAACACACAGGAGTACAACGAAGCGTTTGATACGTGTCCGGGGCAGTCGATATCGAATTCTGTTGTGGTGTTTGAAAGATTTCGGCTTGCGCGCACGGAACGACGCGCGCCTACGCATGTCGTCCCAAAGGTTGCAACAGATGGTTGAACATTGCTGATTTTCGATGAACGAAATCGCGCGCCTGGTAGTTGTTTCAAGCGGTGAGCGGTGGGGGGGGCCAACCCGTCCAGCCTGGAATCATACTTACATTGCACATCCCTGGTGAGGAGGGGGGGGGCGGGTCATCGCGGGGGCGGGGGGGGGTAGATCCTAATTCCATGTCAGAAAGGAGAATAGATGCGGCGCAATGCACGTGGTGCAAAGTATGTGGTGCAGTATGTGTTGTGCAATTGCAGTTGTATAGCGTATGTTGTGCAACATTTGTGGGGCAATCTGCGTGGTACCATATACGATGTGCAATCTACGTTGTGCAGCTTATGTGTAATAATCTATGGTGTGCATCTTTCTGTGGGGAACATATGCGGTCGGGAATACATTGTGCAACCCATGCATGCAACATATGTGATACAACCAGTGTGTTGCAACAGTTCTGGTACAATATATGTTGCGAGAAGTCATGTGGTGCACAGTTTTGATGCAACATACGTGGTGCTACATATGTGATGCCATCTACTTGGTGCAACATGAGTTTTTAGTTTTACATAGAAATATGTACATATATAAATATACACACGCATGTCTATGGATATGTATACTCATATAGTTGTTGTTCACTAGATGTGGTACCATATGTCTGCTGGACAATCTACGTAATGCCACTCAGCTGGTGTAATGTATGTGGTGCCACTGAGGTTGTGCAATCCATGTTTTGCAGAATGTGTTGTGCAATCCATGTAGACCGATCTACGTGGTGCAGGCTATGTTGCGCAATCTACGTTGGACAACACATGATGTGCAATCGATATTGTGCACTGTATCTTGTGATGTATATGGCGTGCGACATATGTTGTGCAGCTCATGCTGTTCAACCCATGCGATGCATTTTACGTGGTGCAGTGAAGATTGTGCTGTTTATATTGCGATACATGTGGTGCCGTCTTTGTGTTGCTCTATATGTGGTGCGACATGTGTTATGCAAACTATTCTGTGTTAGATGTATCTGTACACACCGCCACATATAGTTCAACGACGACGGGCGGCGACGAAGCGGAGACGGGGCGGCGACGGCGACAACTTAACCGCCAGACCGCCGCACCCGCTCAGACGACGAGCGGCGACGAGGCAGCAACGGGGCGGCGACGGCGACAACATATTCGCGAGAGCGGTACACCGGCCCAGACGACGTGCCGCGACGAAGCGGAGACGGGACGGCGACGCCGATTGCATAGCCGCCAGACCGCCACGCCGGCCCAGACGACGGGCGGCGACGAGGCGGCGACGGGGTGGCGACGTCGATTGCATAGCCGCGAGAGCGGCACACCAGCACAATTCCATAGGACAGAAGTAAGAACACCGAAGTGCAGGCACTGATCGGGGAATATCATCGAGCCACACAGCTTGCACCACCCAGGTTGCACCGCATAGATAGCATCACTGAAGCTGAAATCTCATACTTTGATCCATGTAGACCGCACGTCGAGAATCAACTGATTGCTTACCAGGACACTCACTGGGGCACCGGGCACCGTCTAAAACCAACCAGGGCACCATCAGGACACCATCGAAAATCAATCGGGACACCCATCATGACACCACCAGTAGAAGCGCCATGGGGACACCATCGCAGATCAATCACAACACCGTCGGGACACCATTGGGATCAGGAGCGCAAAAAGGCGTACGTGTATATTAACTTTCGCGGGTTTCGCGAATATGCGATGCGCGAACGTTCGCAACACGAGGCTGGCCTCTCGGACTTGGTGGCCGTATTCATGTACATGGTAAGGCGCGTAAGTTTTTTTTTCTGGGCTCCCTGTGAGAATCAGTCAGGACACCATCAGAGCACCTCCGAAACTCAGTCGAAACACCATCGGGGCACCATCGAGGATCAATCGGGATGCCCATCTGGGCACCATCGAAAATCAGCTGTGGCGCCATCGTGAAACCACGGAGGTACCGTCGAGACACCACGGGGACACCCGACAGGTCCCCGCTTGTCGACTGAGCAGCCAGATAAGGTTGAGGAGGAAGAAGAAGAAGAGGCAAAGGAAGAAGATGATTAACTGCTGGACGGGCGTGGAGCCTGTGCCCTCCGGTTCCGCAGGGCGCGTGGGCTACCTATGGGGTGTGCCCTATCGATGATGCTCCGCCGCTCCGTCTTCACCTGACCTGGCAGCCCGGCGCGCGAGCTGGCTGCCGCGTTTGGGACGTCGCGGTGTTTCGCACGTGGCCGCTTCGCACGCGGCCGCGCAGCAAGAGTAGGATAAGAAGGAGGAAGACGAAGAGAAATGTTCCTTCTTGCCACCCAACCCGACGGTCTTGGCACGCACGCCGCGCACGCCGCGAACGCCATTTGCTTTTTCCCAGGGGGGGGGAGGGGCTTTCAGAAAAGCTCTCACACACCCAACCCCCAGTGAAGGATTCGCCCTTGTCGCACCCGCAGACGTGTCGGCAGGGCCGTCAAGGCGTTTCGGTTGACAATCCGGCGCCGTTATGGTTATCACTTGAAATTGGTCCCACCGTGTTTGACGAGGATCGATTTTCTGAGAGTCATTCGGATGGAGGGCGGAAAGTTTTCAGCATGCAGTAATCGTTTGGGTTTCCCTCGCACTTCATGAAAATCTAGGAGCTGTACGGCATGGCTCAATGCGAATTGCATAGGTCGGTTCTGGAATTAAACTTCCCATTTCTGTAACTCCTGGAAGGTTGAAATTCCACACTCCAAATGGTGATCTGCAAAGCGGCGGTTCGTTTTCAACATATGGTTTTCGTTTGGGACTCCTTGTGCGCAGTCTGGCTGCAGTGCTTTCGCACGCCTTGTAGGGTCGAGGCTTCCAGGGTCTTCTGGTGGACGCATTACCACTACACCTTAGGCGATGCTCAAGAAAACTTAATTTTTCTGCCAGAGTCTCGATTATTCTTAATGTTTCAATGTAAATCCAAAGATTTGAATAGACATTCTGGGTTTTTTATTCAAGTTCTGAGACTATGAATTTCTTAACCCATGATTTCTAAAGCATTTCGCAGGGTGTAGGTTATGGGTTTAATTCAGTCAGTCACACGAGCGGACGGCCCATCAATGTCATAATGTGGTGTTCGTTCTTGCGCCGCGCACATGTCAGTTCAAGTTTCAAACAGGTTCGTGGACGGAGGGCGGTACCATCCAAAACCCACTGCCAGCTGCCACGGCACGCGGCCGGATCAAAACCCAATGGCCCGCGCGAGTTGCAGAACTGGTCGCGGCTTCGCATGTACAGGCGCGCCATTGATTGCGGCAAGGCGCCAACATTTCTAGACTCATCAAAGTGCGAAGAAGCACGGCTTTCAAGTGCAGTCCGTGTTTTGTTTGTGCCGTGCCTTCCAAGCCTTGCCATCTCTGCTAACCAGGCCGTCAACCTTCGTTGTGACGCCAGCGATTGCAGCATGCTGCCCGCTCCAATCTTCTGCTTCTAAAAAACAAGCAAACAAAGAAACATGATTCCTCCAGCCTTCCCAGGTTCCACGCCTTTGGCGGGGCCACAGGTACGAGCATCAATGCTACAGCTTGCTCGCTTTAGGGATTCGCGGCAGGACCATGGGACCCTTTAATGTTCTGGCGGGCGTCCAACGTGGTGAAAAAGACAGAACATGTGTTGGCAATGCGGCGGGGGTCTGGGACGAGATTTGATGTTGCAGCGTCCGCAACGCGTGCTGGGCTGATGCTGGTTAGGCTCAAAGGAGGTTGTAGGCCAGGCCCGCTCCTCCCATGTTCAGTGTCGTTTCCTCCTGCTGTTGTGATGTCACTTGCCGTGCCATGCGGCGCCGTCGATCGGTTCATTGATCCTGCTCCTCCTCCTGACGCTGACGCAGCTGGCACTAGAAGCCACAGCTGGGCGTTGCCATCCCCCTTCCCCCTCCTCGTCCGCTCTCTTCCAGCCTCTTCCTCCCCCGCCCTCCGCAGCGCCCTCCGCCCTGCTTGCCCCACTCCCGTCGACGCCGCGCCCTCCCGCAGGCCGCACAGGAGCCCGCGGAGCACGACAGGTCGTCCTCCGCGACGTACTGGGCATCGCCCAAGGGCGGCCTGCAGCCGCCGTGGCTGACGGCAGCAGGACGACTGCCGCTGCGTCGGATCGCCAGCCACGGGGGCCAGATCTCCGACGATGCTCTGCCCATTTCCCGCGATTCCCCCTTTTCGATTCCCCATCGGTTCTCTTCGACCCCCCTGGAGTTTGAATCGTGCGTTTTCCCTCGATCTCGACCCCTTGGGCCCCGTCAGTCGGCTCCATCTCCTTCGATCTGCCTGGGGGTTCAATGCGGGCGTGGTCCCTCGACTTCGGCCCCTGGGGCCCATCAGTCGGCCCCGGGGCCGTGCGAAATGGATCCACGACGAGGAACCACCCCCCTGGGGCCGCGCATGGAACACAGCACATCGTCGGATGTTTGGGTCGGAGGCGGGCAGGCCACGTCCAATGAGGAGGGACAGGTCGGGTCAGGCGATGACTGGTTTTGTTAAGATCATCGGGTTCGTTTCCCACCCACCCACTCCGTTTTCCGCACCTCGTCCCTGACTCAACCAGAGCGCGTTTAAGATGGCATCCCAGAAGGTGGGCGCCAAGCGGGCGGCACCGTGATGCCAAGAGCCCAGAGAGGTAACGAAGACGCAGTGGGAAGAAACGAAACGGGCAGGTGGGCCGCGGGCCGATCCTGGACCTGAAAGCATAGCAAAGCGGAGCCCCAAAACGGGGAAGCAACGTCGATCTGCAAAGTGACAAAATATGCCTCCTACGCTTACAAAAGCATTTAAGCCGCCCCTTCTCCCTGTGAAGATGCTGCAGGCCATGTCGGCGGCGACACCTACATCACTCTACCTCTAACCTCACTGTGTGCTGCCCTCAAGGCGCACGCGTCTCCGGGGGGGCATCCCGACTCATAATAGTGCGGGCTCTGTCCCCCAGGGGGTAGGCACATGCACATGGGCCCTCAGGCACACTCATCCCGTCCACACTCCCACGCCTCCTCGCCCAAGCGCCTCCGAGCCTCCAGCCCTCGAGCCCTCGAGCCCCCGATCCTTGGGCCTGGGGCGGCGCGCGCGGGGCTGAGCGGGCGGGCCGCGCCCATGGCGCTCGCAGTACCCATCGGTCGTTGAAAGCAGGTATTTGGGGATTCCCATCTTCCAATCTACTTTAAGCGCCTTCCGACCTCAATGATCGAGTGGCTTCACCTTTTCCGCCCTCTTCAGGGGGCGGGCGGACACCCAACCTGCTTGCAACGCCCTCCTGCTTCACGTTTCTGCCTACGTCTTCCGACCGACGGGTACGCAACACAGGAAGAAGCGGGAGGGGCCTGCGGGAGCTCCGCTCCGCCCGGCGCGTGCCGGCACGGCGCGCGGCTCTACGGCCGGAGGCCTCGAGACGGGGGTCAGTGCAAACGGGGGTCAGCTTGGGCACCAGATCCTGCTCCTCCTCCTCCTCCTCCTCTTCCTCCTCCTCCTCCTCCTCCTCCTCCTCCTCCTCCTCCTCCTCCTCCTCCTCCTCCTCCTCCTCCTCCTCCTCCCCTCCCCCTTGGGACCCGGACCCCGGCCTTGGGCCACCTGAGTCGGGCAGCAAGAGACGGGGGTCAATGCAAACGGGGCTCAGCCAGGGCACAGGATCCTGCAGGATCCTGCGAAGAGCCCCTCTGGCTGACCCGGGGTAGCGAGCCGCATGTGGCCGCGAGGCGGCCGCGCTTGTTGGCTGACCCGGGTTTGCGAGGGCCTGCGCTGCTGCTTTTTTTTTCCTGCACTGCAGTTTTTTGGTTGCCTGCTGACCCGGGTCTGGATTGACCCGGGTCAGAAGATCCCCGACCACAGCCGTGAGTTTCCTGTTCCCGAGAGGCCACGGCCGCTCAGCCCAATCCCATGATGATGGTACGGGGAAGGGCCGCCCAAGCGCCCAGCTCCTCCCGTGCACTGGCGTTCCACTTCGGGCCTCTTGGCACGGTGGAGGCTTCTGCTTCGCCCCGATCTGTACTCGCGCCTTCGGGCCGCTGAAGGATGCAATGGCGCTCGCCGACGTGGCGCCGACACGCTGTCGGCGCTGATGTGGAAGCCAGCACGTCCATCACACTCTGGAGCATCTCGCCTTGACCACCAGGCATGCAGAGCGACGCCTCGGGCAGCGCGGCTGCGCGGGAGGTCCCCGGGCTGCACCTCCGTTTTTGCGCAGAGCGGTGCAAACATTGGGCGTCTCAGTACGATTGGTTGGCGACTCGCCCCGGCAAGATGTGTGATTCGGCGCGGGAGCGTGAAGGTGCGAGTACGAGCGCGAGTCTGAGTGAAAATGCGAGCACGAGTGAGAGCGGGAGCGGCAGTCAAGTTTGCCAGGTCAAGCGAGTCAGAAGGCCCCGCCTGATCCCACCGTCCCTCCCACAACATAAGATTCGAATGTGGTACAACCTGATATTTGGAACCTCGCAAACGCAATGCGCTCGCGCGCGGCCCCGCTGCCGACGACAAGACTACGTGGGCCGCACAAGGGTGGGAACGGCAGAACTCCTGACGGGCACGGCGAAGACGAGGCACGCGCCGCTTGGACTGAGAACCGCCGCGTCCGCTCACAGGCTGCGCGGCGTTTCGGCGAGGTCGGCGTGTCGCCCGCTTTCGCGCGGCCCCGCTGCCGCTGCCGCTGTCGTGCGCTTCGGGGGAACAAGCCATGCGCAGCGCCCGCGCTGGAACGCCACCTCCGAGCAAAACGCGCACGGAACCTGGGCGATGGCGACGAGTCGCCCACCCGCGCGGGCCCCCAAAGAGTAGCGAGTGACGAATCTGCGCCGCGTCGAGCAGCGACCGCCACTTTCGGGCGACATCTGCGCAGCTCCGAGGCGAGAGCGCTCTCTTCGTCCGCTCGTGCGTCGGCGAAGGCACGTGCGAGAAATGGGCGCCGCGCCGCCGCGGGAGCGCCCGATCCTCAAAAGAGCGAAGTGCGCGGGCGCGGAGGCGAGAGCGACGTGCCGTTTTTTTTTTTCCGCGCGGGAGGTGCCCCCCGCCCCCTTCCTGCCACGCATTTTGGTGCATGGACGTCAGAACGAGGAGGAGGAGGAGGAGGAGGAGGAGGAGGAGGAGGGAGGAGGAGGGAGGAGCCAGACTGGGCGGCCATCGACCGGTTGGGTGGCAGAGCGGAAGCATATACGAACAACTGGAGCTTGATCGACCTCCTGCCTTGACACGTCGATTAGCGAGTTGGCTGTTTTCGGTTCGCGAGAGGGCGTCGCGGCCGTCATTTTTGCGGGTCCAGGTCCGTCGGTTTCGGTCTTAGGCCGTTTTCATTACAGGGTGGTTTACTAAAGGGAGGTTTGTCCACCGCCGAAATAAAGAAAAGGGATGAGGGCCTGGGTGTTGGTAAGGGTGGGGTGGACGTGAGAGTGGTCGGGCTGGGATGGGGCAAATCGTCGCAGAGCGCTGCGGAACGCTCTGAGAGCAATGCGGGGCCTTCTGGAACGGCCGCAGCGCCCGATGCATGTCCTGGAGCCGCCAGATCTCAGGGATCTCCGATTTGGTCATTGTCCGATTTGGTCCTGGTCATGGCTTCTTCTTAAGCGGGGCAGGGGAGCTCGAGAGTGCGAGCGGGCGTCTGGGTGCAAGTGCGAGCGCGAGTGCGAGTGGGAGTGGGAGTGAGGGCTGGGGTGGTAGTGAGGGTGAGGGCGTCGTTGCGATGCCTTGGTTTGTGCCATCAGATCGTGGGGTGTCTGGGCTTCCCCTGGTGGTTGGCCTGAGGGCGCCGCCCTTCTCCTCCCTCCGCGGACGCCCTCTTCTGCCTCTCGCCCGCTCGTGCACGGTTCGCCTTGCAGAATCCCCGTGCGTAGGCTTCGACCACGCTGTGCGCCCGCGAGCGCTGCGAGCGACTGAAAAGTCTGGACTCGGAAGTCCCGACCCGTTCCCCAGGGCCCGGTCTCTCATCCCGAACCGTTCTTGGACGGCCCCAGGGCCCGGCAAGGGCCCCCGGAGGCCGACCACGGCCAAGAGCCTCCCGCCGCCATGCCTGCGCGACGCTGGCGCATGCCCGGGGGCCCCCGCGCCGCCGCCAGGGCAGCTCCCGCAGCCGGGCGGGGCGCACGTGCTCGCCGCCGCCCGGCCCGGGGGCCCGGCGGCCGGGCTCTGGTCGGGCGCGGTGCCGGCGGCGCACGCGGGAGGACCGCGTGCCCCGCGGCGCCGCGCGAGGTGTCGTCGGAGCCGGCCAGGACTCGGGGGGGCGGAAAAGAGGGGGGGTGATGACTAGGGGGGGGGGGGGATATCATGGCGGGGGCCATGGTACTTCCCCAGATTTCATGGCGCCCCTTCCTGTTTCTTTACGTCCCTGGCCCCCCCGCTGGGCCGCGCACATGCCGCCAGTCTTGATTTGCACCCCCCCCTCTTGGACACCCCCCTCTTGGCCGCTCCCAAAGGACTCCTGGCTGGTGTTTGATCGGAGCCAGCCAGGGCGCAAATTGGGATTGCCACGGAGGCGCCCTCCTGGCCCAGGAGGGCCCCTCCGTGGTGATCCCAATTTGCGGGCGCCCTGTCCCCAGACGCGCTCGCGTCGAACAGAAAAACGCAACGGAAGGTTTCTGGCAGTTCCCGATTCCCGAGGGCTGTCGTTGGGCCCCGGGACCGTCGAAAACGACTCGGGATGGAAAACGGATTTTTGGGAAATGGTCAGGACTTCTGGGGAACCCAGATTGAACAAAGAAGCATCGCATGTCTGGGTCGCCACACCTGTTTCTTCGGGCCATGTGCCGTTCCGGGAGAGGGTTGGGTGACGGCGCCTGGAAGCGGCGACAGGCACAGCAGGAACGAGCAGAATCCGCGCTGGAGCCCGAGATCTTGCGAAGGAGGGACTCCGGATCGGCTCAGCCCGAACCAACCCGTCTCAGCCAGGCTGAGTCCGCTTCAGCTCAACCCAGTCCAGTCCAGACCAGTCGAGCTCAGCCCAGTTCAACCATGTCCAGTCCAGACCAGCCGAGCTCAGCCCAGTTCAGTCCAGCTCGCTCCATCTGGGTTTCTTATCCAAAGCAGCGCCGCTTTACCGCAGTCCAGCTCTCCCACTTTCCACGAAGCTGAGGCCAGCACTGTCGAGCTCTACCCAGCACAGCCCCGTCCATATGAGCCCAGCGAATGCCAGCTGTGTGAAGCTGAATCCAGCTCGGTCCAAGCCAGTCCAGCTCGTCCCCAACTCAGACGCACTCCAGCTTAGTCCAGCTGAATCCAGCCCTGACCAGCTCAGCAAACCACAGCGCAGCTCAGCCCATCGTAGTCTAGCCCACTCGAGCTCTTTCGAGCATTATTGTGCATTGGACTGTATATGCAAACACAATGGCTTTCTGAGATTAGTTCGTTCCGTTGGCTTAGTGGTATGAGTACACGGGCCCAAGGAAAGGAGCACACAAGTTTGATGGATGCACTTGCGCCGAAAGAACAGAACTACCACAGAGGGAGGAGTGCGGAATGAGCGAAGAAGAGGCGGAGGAAGGTTATGCAGAGTGACCAGCTTCACATCACTCATGTCACTTGAAGTTTGAGTTCGTCGTGTGTGAAGGAGTCGGAGGGTCGACATTGAATAGTTTGGGACCCCGAAATGTGCTGGATAAGAATCTGAGCGCGTGCGTGGTTCCTCGACTACGATGTACCCATATATACATAGTCGTGCATGTGCATACAGATACACCTGTGTACATATAGGTATGTGTGTGCTTACACAGACATGTGTGTAGATATACGTTCGCATACATTCACACGTACATACATTTGGAACTATGCACCTTCAGTCACGCATCCTACAGCATGCCACGAACACTATTTCAGTCTCAGTGGGGTAACTCACAAAAGAGGATTGCCCCCCTGCCCTGCGTCCAAGGAAACGGCTGGCGATTTGCAGCCATCTCCCCGTGGCCCCCCAGCGCTCCCTCCTGCCGTCCCCTCCCCTCGCTCCCCCCCCGTCTGCCTCTCCTGATACCCACCCTTCCTACCTTCGCCTGCGTCGCCCATCCCTCTCTGCCCTCGACTTCCTGTCCCTCCCACACCCTGGGTTCCACTTCGATTCGTCGATCCGAATCGGTCGATTCTGGCCAGCCCGAGGCGATTCGATTTCGATATTTTGACGATCCGATGCGGCCCGATGTTTGCATGGCGTTGTCGTGCGTCCTGGCACGGCCGATCCGATCCGACTTCGACCCCGTGCCGATGCACAGCCCGATCCGACGCACGTTCCGGTCCGGTCCGATTCCCCGATGCGATGTCGATTGATCTTGACCCCCCCCCCTCCAGTCCCAAAGAAGGAAAACCGACGCACACACAAAACTTTGGGGAGGACCGCGCGGAGTCCCTGGATCGGCGCTGGACGGCGCCTCTGGCTCCCGCCTTGGCGCGCTTCGCGCAGCCAGGGAGAGGAGGAGGAGGAGGAGGAGGAGGAGGAGGAGGAGGAGGAGGAGGAGGAGGAGGAGGAGGAGGAGGAGGAGGAGGGGGACCCGGCGCCGATCCAGGCAATCCGCTGGGAATTCCGAAAGTCCATGTTTATGGGAGACGGCTCAACCGACAGCCAGCACCGAGGCCCCAGCTAACCGGGCGCCTGCAGCAGCCCAGTCCGATGGCGCAGCCACCGCCAGCACCCAAGCCGCTTCCAGCCCGCAGGAGGGGTACATGCGCGCGCCTGGCCCGCGCCGCCACCCAGACCTGCGCGCCCAGGGCTGGAGACAGGCGGAGGGCCCCACCGACACCCTTTACGAAACGCCGCGGCGACGCATCACCTTCCGGCGTACGCAGGACCGTCGCGGTCATATGGAGACCGGGCCCTAGGCTCAAATCAGACTGCGGAGCCCTGTTTGTGGAAGGCTGGCACGCTGGTCTGCGACCAGGGCGATCAGCGTGGCAGAGGCGGCGGGCGGTACAACCCACATGGGCATGACGAATTCTGCCGCCAGTTCATGGAAGGTATGCCCTACTGCCATGTCGACATTCGAAGCCTATGTTGGGGCCGCGACATCCGCATCACCTCGGACGATGTCTGGAGCAGGCAGCGCGAACATGACGCGTGGCGCTACGACCGGGCCACCGGCGCTGGCAAGGGCCGCCAGGGCAAGGGCGTGCCACCACCGGACAAACGCAAAGGGAAGCGCCCGCCCAACGCGGCCTGGGACCATGCACCAGCAGCCGGACCTGGACGCTCGTATCTTGGCCCCCTGCAGCCCGTCGGCGCGGCCTGCTTGGCCAGACGCTGCGGTACGCAGCACCCTCCTCGACGGAATCCTTCAGCCCCGAGCGCAGCAATCCGACATACTGCGCCCACCTGCAGCGCCCGCTGCATGATGTCTGGAGGGTGCCCCTGGGAGCTCGTGCTCTGCTCCCCCCTCGACGTGCCCGGCCCTGGCGGCTACCTCCGCGCACGCTGCCCAGCTGCTTGGGTCAGCGGACCCCCTGGCCGAGGGCACTGCCTGTCCTCCTTCCTGCGCGTGCTGTCCGTCGAGACGGCGCTCTGCACCTCTTCGCCCGCATGCCGCACCACTCCGGTGCCTCTCTTGGTCTCCCACTGGCGTTGCTGCCTTCGGCGCCCGCTGGCTGCCACCTGCTGTCCCAATGGCGGCGCTCGGCTTCCCCTTGCGCTGGTTTTGCCGCCTCCTCTCTGGCCCCCGCCGCTGCCGCCTCCAGCGTCAGCGGCCGCTGCGTGCTGTCCGTCGGGGCGGCGAGTGGCTCTGTTCACTTGTTCGCTGCACCGTTCTGGTGCTTCCTCGGTCTCCCCGCCAGGGCGGTTTCAACCCGCTCGCCACCACGCGCTGTCCGTCGGGGCGGTGCGTGGCCTCTCCCCCCTCCCGCCCTGCCCGTGCGCCCGCTCCCTGCTCGCCGCCATGGGTGGCGCGGCGCTCCTGCCGCGCCCTCCCTCGGTGTTCGCCCTCTGCCCCGCCGTCTGCGCTCTCTCGCAGTGCAGCCGCCGGCGCCCCCGCGCCCGCCTCTGCCCGCCTTGTCTCCGCCTCCTCAGCCACCCGGCCCGCTCCATCTTTTGTGGAGCGGCCGCCCCTGGCCTGGCACCTCCGGTCGCCTCTGCCGGTCCTGCAAGTTTGCTCTCCGCCTCGCTCGCATCTGGGTATGGTGCGGCCGCCAGCGCCCCCATGCGCCCTCCCTTGCCCGCCCCCGCTCCGCCCGCTTTGCTCCCGCCGTCTGTGCCTCATCGCAGTGCGCCCCCCCGCCTTTGACCCCTGTCCCCGCGCCCTCTGCCTCCTGGCCCCCTCCACCGTTTGTGGAGCAGCCGCCCCTGGGCTAGGCACCCCCGGTCGCCTCTGTCGGTCCTGCAAGCTTGCCCTCCCTGTCGCATGCGCCTGTGCAGCGCGGCCGCTGGCGCCTCCATGCGCCCGCCCGTGCCCGCCCCCACTCCGCGCCCTTCGCTACCTGGCCGCGCCCACCTCTCTGCCGAGCGGACCGCCCCCGGGCCTGACACCTCCGGTCGCCTCGGTGGCCCCCGCGCTTCCTGGCGTGATTGGCTCTCCCTGAGTCCGTGTTGCTTTTCCCCTTCCTCGCCCGCTTTCCTCCCCCCTCCTCCTCCTCCTCCTCCTCCTCCTCCTCCTCCTCCTCCTCCTCCTCCTCCTCCTCCTCCTCCTCCTCCTCCTCCTCCGTGGCTGCGCCGCGAGGGGAGTCGGCCAGCGGTGCTGCAGCTCACGGCGCAGTGGAGAGCCGCGGGACTGCCCTCGCAGCGCGCGTGGGCCTGCGCTGAACCTGGACCGTTTGCTCCCACAGTTCCGATCGAACATGGCGCAGTGGACAGTCGCGGGGACTACCATCACAGTGCACACGTTTCGGAGCCGGGGCTCCTGCCCGCTGCCGCCTCCCTCGCCGCACCAGGCGCCAGGTCGTGCCGCCCACGGGCTCCCATGCCGGTGCGTATGGCACCGCAAGCCCAACTAAAGCACGCCTTTGTGGCACTTCGCTCAGGGTCATCCTTGGACGCTTGCACTGTTTCCCCTTGCTCGGCGCATCGCGTCTGCTGTTGCGGACTGCCCGGCCGACGTTCCAGCCCCCTGGACACCGCCCCCGCCGCCCGCGGGCCGCTCCGGCTGCTCATGGCGGAAGTCTTCCGCCTCTGAGTGCTCGCCCTTCTTCCCCCCTGCGGCTGCCTTTTCCTTTCCCCTCCTCCTGCATGCCGGCCACTTCGCTTTGTAGTGCCCCATGCATCGCTGCCTCGCTGGAGCGGATTGTCCCGCCTAGCCGCCGACAGAAAATGTTGATGGGAAACAGGACCTGGACCGAGGGGGCTTTCCCCAGGGCCAGTTCTTAATCCCGAGTCGTTTTTCGACGGTCCCCGGGCCCGGGGTGGTGAACAGCCTCCAGGGGCTTGGGGTGGTCCCCTCCCGAGGAATAATGCGGGCTTTGGGTTTTGAGTAGATCGACCTTGCAACGTGTACGGTTTGTCGGGCTGGAGGGGCCGTGCGAGGGAGGAAGATTCACGCCCTGGCCCAGGCTCCGGACAGCAACGTCGGAAAGAGAAACAAATGCCTCGCCTCGTTCTCATGTGATTCACGACCCTCAGGGCACGGCTCCTCCGTGCGAGCCCCCTTCCCGCTCCCCTTGCAATCCCACGGCGCGAAGAAAGAAAATGAGACACTGTGAGAATCTCTGCTTGGCGGCGCGCACAGGGGGGTAGGGGGAGGGGGGAAGGCTTCTTAGAAGCACCCCTGCTTCTTAGAAGGCGCGGGCCTTGTCTACAAATGTAAGGCCGGCGCCTTCTAAGAAGCAGCCTCTTTCTAAGAAGCCTTCCCCCCTCCCCCTACCCCCCTGTGCGCGCCGCCAGCCTGCCAGAGCCCTATAGACCCGATCTTTTTGCGCCGTCCTGCGAAGCCGGGCGAGGACGCCCAGCTCGAAATAATTGACACGCCAGGATCGACTACACGTAAGAGTGAACCTTCGCAGGAGTGGCCTGTGGTGCGGGCTCACCGGGGTCCCCCCGATCGCTGAGCGCGATGCGATGGTGACTGCGCGCTCGGGTTTGGCCACCCTGCGCCCCCCTGCCTCCGCGCACCAGAAGGTCACTCCTGCCCAGGGCCACTCTTGCGTGCAGCCGACAGGATCTCAGGGCCTCTCCACCCACCCCTGGGCGGCGGGTGGGTCGGGGGCAACGATAGAGGGGGGGTAGGCATAGGGGAGACGCATCGACCCCCAACCGCCCATTGGTCGCCGATAGGGGCCCGATAGCCCTATCCTGCCCAGGAGCGTGCGGATTCACCATCGGACCATCGGAGGCCTATCGCCGATCTATCGGCGATGCATCGACGATTCCAGGTCGATGCATCCCCCCCTATGCCAGTCCCCCCTTGTCGGTGCCCCTCAGTGTGGGGGGGGGGGCCTTGGCCGCATGGGGGTGCGGTGCCCCCCCCAGCCGGCAGGACCCGCGTTCTGGCACCAGCCTGGGGCCCCCGGCCCCGGCTGCCGATTTCTGTCGCTCTGATGTTTCCCGACTCGGCTGCCGATTTCCGCCGGCACGATTCGTTTCGATCGCCGATCCGATTTCTCGGTTCGATTCTGGGCCGATCCCACTCATCGATCCGATACGATATGCGACGCGATCCGATCCGACTCTGGGCCGACACGACACGATACGATACGATCGCCGATCCGATTTGTCGATTCGGTTCTGGGCTCGCAGGCCTTGGCCGCGTGGCGGGGCGGTGCCCCCCCCGGCCAGCAGTCAGGAGGGGAAAAAACACACAGACACAATTAATCGTCGATTTCCCAGGAAAATATGGGAAAATATGGGAATTGGGCGGGAAGACAGGAACCCAGAAAATATAGGAAAATATGGGGAATATTTTTATTTGTGTGTATTTATTTGTGTGTTCCAGTTTCCCTTCAAGGACCCGCGCTCCGGCACCAGCCCGCGGGGCCCCGGCTGCTGCGGCCGCCGGCGAGGCCGCGGAGAGCCCCCGGCGCCCCCGCCTCGTGCGAGGGGCAAGTTTTCCGCCACCGTTGCCAAGTGCAGGAGAGGGAGGAGGAGGAGGAGGAGGAGGAGGAGGAGGAGGAGGAGGAGGAGGAGGAGGAGGGGAGGGGGAGGAAGAGGGGGAGGGGGAGGAGGAGGAGGAGGAGGGGGAGGGGGAGGAGGGGGAGGGGAGGAGGAGGAGGAGGAGGAGGAGGAGGAGGAGGAGGAGAGGAGGAGGAGGAGGAGGAGGAGGAGGAGGAGGACCTCCTCATCCTCCCCTTCCCCCCCGTCCTACGTACATGTGGCAGCAGTGGTGGAGAATTTGCCCAGCATCGCGGGCGAAAAACATCTCCGTATCCCCAGACCCCCTTGCGTTTCGAAGAAATCGCGACGGGAGGTTTTTCAATGTTTTCGGCCTCCAGGGGCCCTTACCAGGCCAAGGTACCTTCAAAAATGGTGAGGGACGGGGAACCGGTCCCGAGGAAGGGGTCCAGACCTCTGCGGGTCGACGTCGTGAAAAAATCACGACGTCGGGGTTCTGGGTCCGCGGCCCCGCGTGTTGGGCCCGTGGGCCGCGACCCCGTGGATACGGGGCGTTTTTTTGCGGATGCCACGGGCGGAGCGTATCCGTGCGGCCGCGTATCCGCGGGATCGCGCCCTAGAATCCACACCGCGAGGGCGCGGACAGGGTTTATATATATAGATATGCACACATACATATAACAGCCCATATGTATATTATATATATATATATATATATATGTCTCTCTCTCTCTCTCTCTCTCTCTCTCTCTCTCTCTCTCTATATATATATGTATATATATATATATATATATATATACATTCAAATACATTCGAATTAGGCCTAGTGGGTTTGCGTGGGCCCCCGGCTCCCCGAGCCTCCCGGGGGCTCCAAAACGGCACCGGAAGGCCCCCGGAGGGGTCCGAAACGGCGTCGGAGTTCCCCAGAAAAACCCAAGACGGCTGCTTACGGAGGCCCCGAGACGACCCAAGACGGCTTTCAGGCGGCCCAAGATGTTCTCCAGACGGCCCCATACGCCCCAAAGACGCCCCCGGACGGCTCTGGGGGGGTCCGAGGGCTCCCCCAGGAGGGCTCCATCAAGCAAAAATGGCCACATTCCCTTCGTAAAATGCACATGTTCAACAGATTCTACATTTCCCTTTGCGAAGCGTCCAAGACAGCCCCAGAGGCCTCCAAGATTGCCCAAGACGGCCCCCAAGAGGGCCCAAAGATGGCTCAGACGGCCCCAGGACGGCCCAAGGGACGCCCAAGACGGCCCAAGAGGACCCCAAGAGGTGCCCAAAAGGGGCCCAAGAGAGCCCAAGATGGCCCCAAGACGGCCCAAGTGGCGCCCAAGGTGGCCCAAGACGGCCCCAAGACGGCCCAAGAGGCGCCATACACGGCCCAAGAGGGCCCCGAGGAGCCCCCAAGAGGCCCAAAAGAGCCCCCATAGAGCTCCCAAACGGCCCCCTAGAGGCTTCAAATCTGCCTCCAAGAGAGAGGGGCGGACGAGAGGCGAGAGGCCCTTCGCAGGCGCAAAAGAACAATGTTTTACACTCCCGTGGCCCTGGCGCTGCCCGTCTGCGCTCCCCATTTTGCCGCGACGCCGTTCCGACGCTTCCGACGCGGCCCGAGACGGCGCCGCGTTCGACCCGACCCGCTCCCGCGTCCGCCGAGATCCCGACGCATATCTTCCAACGCTGCTCTGGCTTGGTCTCTTGAACTTTTGCCTCTTGCGAAGCTCGAACACTTCGGCCCCCGCTTCGGTGCATTGGGGGCGCTCAGTGGGGGAACAGCACTAGAACAAGCTTCACAGGATCTACGGCAGTAGCTGGCAGCGTCGCACAACCCAGCACTCGCAACCAAACTTCGATCCGCGCAACTCCGTGGATTTAATCCACGGGTCCACACTAGTGTGTGTATATATATATATACATACATACATACATACATACATACATACATATATATATATATATATATATATATACACATACATATCCCTGGGGGCGAGGCTGGGGGGCCCAGGACAGGTGCTTCGACCCCCCATGGCGGGACGGGGGGGGCCTGGAGCCTCCCTGGAGCAGCCCAGGCGGCCCAAGAGTGCCCCAAGAGCGCTCCACGACAGGCCCAGCAGGCTCCAAGAGGCCCAAGAGGGCGCCAAGAGGGCCCCAAGATAAGCCCAAGATAAGCCCAAGACGGCCAAAGAGGCCCCCAAGACGCTCCAAGAGGCCCCCCCAGAGGGCCCCAAGAGGCCAAAAAAGTTTGTTTTACTAAAGTTTTGGACACATTTTGCCTTTCCCGCCTTTTCAGCTTTCCGACGCTCCACGACGGCTCAAAGGCCCCCCGCGGACGCCCCAAGACAGCCCAAGAGGCCTCCAAGAGGAGCTCAAGACGGCCCCAAGAGGGCCCCAAGAGGGGAACTGCGAACCGGAAATTCAAGCCTCCCGCCTCCACAGGGCCCCGGGAGGCCCCAAAGGGGCCCCAAGAGGCCCCAGGAGACCCACAAGAGGCACCCAGGAGGCCCGGTGCCCGAAAACACCTGCCCCGACCCTCCATGGGGGTACCGGGGCTCATTTTCTTTGTGTTTTTAAAAGGGTTTCCGCGTCCTGGGCCTCCGAGGCCGCCGCCTCCGACCCCCCATGGGAGGACGGGGCGGCCGGGGAGGTCCAAAATAGTCCAGGAGGGCCTCCAGAGGCTCCCAAGACGGCCCAAGCGGGCCCCGAGTCGCCGAAAGACCGCTTCGGGACGCCCAAGATAGGCCCAAGACGGCCCGAGAGGCTCCCCAATGCACTCCACGACGCTTCAAGACGCCTCTCCAGAGCGCTTCAAGAGGCCGAAATCGTCAATTTTACGAAAGTTTTCGAACGATTTTGGCCTTCCAGCCTTTTCGGCTGTCCGCCGTTCCAAGACGGCTCAATAGGCACCCAAGAGCGCCCCAAGACGGCCCAAGAGGGCCCCAAGACGGCCCCAGAGTCGCCCAAGACAGCCCAACAGAGCCCCAAGACGGCCCCAAGACGGGGACCACGACTCCAAAATTCGACCCTCCCGCTTGAAGAGTGCCCCAGGAGGCCCCAAGGAGCCCCCAAGAGGCCCCGGGAGGCCCCCAAGAGGCACCCAGAAGGCCCAAACGAGGCCTAAAGAGGCCACAAAACAGCCCCGAGGAGGCCCCACAACGGTCCCAAAACGGCTACCGAGAAGCTGCGAAACTGCCTTCACGACGTCCCCGCCAGGCCAACCACGAGATCCAAACCAACAACCATGAGGCCTCTGACCCACCACCCAGGGCACGGTGGCGGGAGCAGTGACAGCATTTGTGCACAGCATGTTCCGGCGGGAGCCTTCCGGAACACGCTGCAGGAGGAGGAGGAGGAGGAAGATCAGGAGGAAAGAGAGCTGAAGTGGGAGGAGGAGGAGGAGGAGGAGGAGGAGGAGGAGGAGGAAGAGGTCTCCAAGACAGCTCCAAGATAGCCGAAGAGGCTTCCAAGAGGGTCCTGGGCGGCCCACGAGGGCCCCAAGGCGATGCCTGAGGCGCCCCAAGACGGCCCGAGAGGGCCCCAAGACGGCCCCAAGAGAGGCCCAAGAAGGGAAGCACGAACCGAGAATCCGAGCTTTCTACCCCGAGAGGTTCTCGGGAAGTCCCAAAAGGCCCCCAATCGGATCCAAGAGGCCCCCAAGAAACTCCCAAGAGGGCCGACGAGGTTCCAAGAGATCTCCCAAGGTGGCCCCAAGAGGCACAACTCATTGTTTTACGATTGGGCTTTGACGGGTCTCAATTCACAACAGCAGAGCGTTCCCCCCAAAAGACCCACAGGAGGCCGCAAGAGGCCCTCAAGTGGTCCGACGAGGACGCCAAAAGCTTCCCGAGGGCCCAAAAGGCCCCTAGGAGACGTCCAAGATTTTTCCCAACCATCCTGTGGTGTTGGGTCCTCGTTTTGAAGAGACGGTGCCCCGCGTTATCCTTCCTTCCTTCCTTCCTTCCTTCCTTCCTCCCGCTGCCTCCTCCCCCCTCCCATCATCATCATCATCATCAACACCCATTTCGGCACACCCCTCACACGTTTCGTGGCTCCATAGGGAGCTCCACCGAAGGGCACACCCCTTTCGTGGCTCCATAGGGAGCTCCACCGAAGGCCCCAGTGCCCGCGGCCGCATGCGTCCCCCACACCCATTTCGGCACACCCCTCACACGTTTCGTAGCTCCACCGAAGGCCCCAGTGCCCGCGGCGCATCACCCATTTCGGCACACCCCTCACACGTTTCGTGGCTCCATAGGGAGCTCCACCGAAGGCCCCAGTGCCCGCGGCCGCATGCGTCCCCCACACCCATTTCGGCACACCCCTCACACGTTTCGTGGCTCCATAGGGAGCTCCACCGAAGGCCCCAGTGCCCGCGGCCGCATGCGTCCCCCACACCCATTTCGGCACACCCCTCACACGTTTCGTGGCTCCATAGGGAGCTCCACCGAAGGCCCCAGTGCCCGCGGCCGCATGCGTCCCCCACACCCATTTCGGCACACCCCTCACACGTTTCGTGGCTCCATAGGGAGCTCCACCGAAGGCCCCAGTGCCCGCGGCCGCATGCGTCCCCCACACCCATTTCGGCACACCCCTCACACGTTTCGTGGCTCCATAGGGAGCTCCACCGAAGGCCCCAGTGCCCGCGGCCGCATGCGTCCCCCACACCCATTTCGGCACACCCCTCACACGTTTCGTGGCTCCATAGGGAGCTCCACCGAAGGCCCCAGTGCCCGCGGCCGCATGCGTCCCCCACACCCATTTCGGCACACCCCTCACACGTTTCGTGGCTCCATAGGGAGCTCCACCGAAGGCCCCAGTGCCCGCGGCCGCATGCGTCCACACACCCATTTCGGCACACCCCTCACACGTTTCGTGGCTCCATAGGGAGCTCCACCGAAGGCCCCAGTGCCCGCGGCCGCATGCGTCCCCCACACCCATTTCGGCACACCCC